AAATATTAATTAAACTATGAGTTTCTTTATCAAGTCCTTCAAAAAAAAAAAAAAAAAAACTTAGAGAACAACTTGCATTTCATTAACCTCGCAAGTTTTATTACAACTCTTAAGTTTAATTGTATATGCATTAAACAAACGTGTATATATATATTTTTTTATTGGTTAAAATTTGATTCTTTAAAAAGATTAATAATAAGGTAATTTCTCATAAATTTAATAAGGAAATAATTTCTTACAAAATTTTTAATCCTAACATGGATGAGATATATACCTTTAACTAGATTAGAAAGGGATTAATTTCAAAATATATACAAATTAACTTAAAGGCACCTAACTGAAAAAAAAAAAAACACTTCTGTCCTGTCAAGATCAAGTTTTAATTAGTAAGGACGGAAATTCACAGATCATGTTCCGGAAAGTTATGCACCAGAATAAGGCTAGATTTTAGCTTATTGAAAAAGATCTGTCAAAACACTGTTTGGTATAGTAGTGCTATCGATAAGGTTGAATCAACGTACAATGATTGGCATGATATGTTTTTCAACCATAAATTCTTACGACAAATTTTTATAATAATCATATAACAATCATACGAGATTATCAAACAAATAAATGTATATATATATAGATTTATACATTTTGCTACGTGAAAAGAGTAATATAAACTAATATTATCTTATGTTATGAGAATTTATTATTATTATTTTGATAAAAATGTTATGAGAATTTAATGTTAATAAATATTATCAATAAATTATTTTAAAAGAAAAATCTTACTCGTTTAATATTTTCGTTTTAACTAGCAGTCGTATGTGATGTGTGTGGTATCAAATAATTGAGAAACAGAGATCATCGGAGAAATTACCAGGTAGAAAAACAGGAAGAAAATTCCAATGAAATGGTATTTGTCAGGACATGAATGAAGTGGGTTCATCCCAAAATACGCCCAATCATCTCTCTCTGATGTGTTGGACCTAGAGATCTTTTTCTTTTGGCCTCATTCTTCAAACCATTGCTATGTTAAAACCATATAATAAATAGTACTACTAGGTTTTTACATGTTCAGAAAGAAGACAGGTTGCTTTGGGTGGACGAAAGAATATTAGGCTCTTTCCTCCTTCAAAATATACACTAGTACTATACAAGGATTCTGTCCATGGTAATTTGTTTGCATATGCAGATTTTGTTGCTTGTATATATCTTTGCTGATAAGGTGTACAAAGTTACAGGCTTTGATGTTCCAGTTTTATGCGGTCTTTTCTTCCTTGGGAATGGGTGGATTGGTTGATTTCAATACACATTTTTGTTGTTGTATGTAGGCTATCTCTGGAACTGTAACTTCTGGTCCTGGTTTGCTTGCATTGAAGATTGCACAATTGCACGCCAAGTATTAAAAAACATTTGTGGGTTTGTCTTGATGCCATTACCACCATCAAATATTGAGAGGGAAACCATATGCATGAATCAAGGAGCTTGGATTTGGATCTTCTTGACATATGGCAAAAGGCCTTTATGATTGGATGTCTACTCTATAGAATATAGTGTTTGGTTATTTGGGAGAATGGAATCTCTTGCACAGCATGTTCATGACCCATGAGTCCTTCAATGCCAACGCCCTCTTGGGGCATGGTTATTGCCACCCGGTTTTTTGTTAAAATCATTGAAAAAATATAATAATTGTATTTATTTTTATTGATTTTATTAATTTATAATTTTACAATTACTTATAATGTTTAGATGTACCAATTTAAAAATTAATTTTAATTTATTAAATAATAAATATTAATTATTTTATTGATCAATAATTATAATTATCAATTTTTTTTATTTTAATTGCATAATAAAAAATAATTATCTCTTATTTTTTATCTCACTTCACATGTATGTCATACAATTCGAATTCAAGATCTCTCATTTTCAGTGAAAAAAAATAACCATTGAACTATTTAAATCGTTAGTATAATTATAAATTATTTTTAATAATTAGATAACATCTTGTGTGGCTTTAACAAAACGTCAAGCGGCCATAGCCGGTTTCCCTTCGGGACTGAGTATGTCTTTTAGCAGTTTTTTCCTTTTTTTTTTTTTTTTTTTCTGTTTTTCCTGTCTGGGACAAAATAAAAAACAATGTTCCTCCAAACAGTAGAAATGGATTAAAAAGGAGGGAAAGAAATGATATCAGGTACTCTACCGGTCTACACTATGCGGACTGCAAAACAATGCACTAAAAATTATATCACATGAGAAAGATAAAAATAAAAAATAAAAAATAAAAATAAAACACCATTACAACGGTC